AATGTATATGCGTGTACTGCCTGCATATAGGTAAGTGCACCATGTCATGCAATGCCCGAGGAGGACACAAGAGGCTGTTGGACCCCTGGAACTGGAGTTACAGACAGTTGTTAGCTGCCATGTGGGTGCTGGGATTCTAACCTGGGTCTTCTGCAAGAACAGCCAGTGTTCTTAACTGCTGAGCCATCTCTCCAGCCTCGAGAACTGACTTAATCTTAAGTTGTTCTCTGATCTCCATGAGCCAGTAGAGGACCACTCTGCCCCCACCAAAACAAAACAAAAACCCACGAATGTAATAAAAGATAAAATGTCACTTTATAGGTGATTATCTGCTGAAAGGTGTGATTTTGACAGCTTTTACAATCTTGGGGTTTTTTTTTTTTTTTTACCTTAGATAATATAGGTATAGTATATAAAATTTAAAATGTACAAAAGGGTAGTAAAAACTAAGTCCCAAAGTCCCCTCAAACCCCTTGGCTCCTTAATACAAAGGCACATATTTTTATTAGTAGAGGGGGAAAGGGAAGAGGGAAGAAAAGGAATAGGGAAAGGGAAGGAGGGAGGCAGAGAGGGAGGGAGGGACTATCGAGGGATGGTATTTTTTTCCTCTCTTTTAATTTAGACAGAGTCTTGCTATGTAACCTAGCTGGCCTAGAACTTACTATGTAGCCCAGGTTGGCTTTCAGACTTGCAGCAGTTTGTAGCTTCAGAATCCCCAGTGAGCCATCACTCCAGGCTGAGAGTATTTAAATTCATACCCTGCCTTTCTTCCTCCCTCCTACCTAACCTAAACCATACTGCCTTAAGGTTTATTATTTTACACTTATTTATTTAGTATGTATGTATGTATGTATGTATGTATGTTGTGTATATGTGTGGGCATGTGCATGCCATGGCAACCAAAGGGGGGGGTTGTACAGGTTCTTTTCCTCTACCATGTAGTTCTGGGGATTGATTCATGTCACCAGGCTTGGAGGCAAGTGTCTTTACCCATTGAGCTATTTTATCAGCCTGGTTTTATTGTTACTATTATTTTTATTTCTTGGAGTGTTTTTGAGACAGGGTCTCCCTGAAGCCTCAGCTGGCCTGAAATTTGCTATGCAGACCAGGTTGGCATAGATCTTACAGAGATCTACCTGCCTCTGCTGGATTAAAGGCCTGTGCCACCATACCCAGCTGATTTTATTATTATTAAAACAGCATCACAGTATTGATTAAAAGATGTATTGACATACACTGAAGTTGTTTCCAATTCTTCATCATTATAAACAATGCTACAGTGACAAAGTGTCTAGCAAGTCATTGTACACATGTGTAAGTCTACAAGTGGAACTGTGTCAAGGGTGGCACACATCTACAGTTCTGATAGACACACCCCAAGTGGCTTCTACAGAAACACTACAGAGGGTTATGTAGAGGGCTGTCAGAAGAAGAAAAAATGTGACAAGATAAGGACAGCTGTAGGGGGCTGAGTCACAGAGATAAGACGAGGACACATCATGACAGCATAATGGATGGAAAGGCGAGGTTTCACAGGCAAACATGCCAAATGGCACCGAGACTTACAGTCTGAAAATAGGAACTGGGTTTGGGGGACTTAGGGAAAAGAAGACGGTCTGCTGGGCCTCGTGGCACAGGCCTGTAATCCCAGGTACTTAAACACTGGTGAGGATCACAAGTTCAAGAACTGCTCAGGTTGGAGAGATGGCTTAGTGGTTAAGAACACTTGCTACTCTTTCAGAAGACTGGAGTTGGGTTCCTAACACTCACATCAGATGGTTTACAACAGTCTGACTTTGGTTCCTGGGGATTCAGAGCCCTCTTCTGGCCTCCAAAGGCACTTGCACATTTATGCATATGCATACACATACACAACACATACACACATTAATAAAAATAAATCTTTCCAAAAACAAACTGCCTGGGCTACAAAGCTAGTTCAAAGTCAGCCTACTGAAAACCTGTCTCAAAAGGTAGAGAGATGACCCAGGGCTTAACAGCACTGGCTGCTCTTGCAGAGGACCCAGGTTTAGTTCCTGGAAGCTAACAATTGTCTAGTTCCAGGGGACCGAACCCACAAAGGTGGGTAATGCATGCATGTGCTACAAAACACTCATACACATAAATTTTTAAAAATTGAAGGAAAAAAAAAAGGGCCAGGCATGCTGATACATGCCTTTAATCCCAGCACTTGGGAGGCAGGGGCAGGTGGATCCCTGTGAGTTTGAGGCCAGCCTGGTCTACATAGCAAGTTCCAGGCCAGCTGGTGCTACAGGGAGACCCTGTCTCAAAAAGACCAAAACAAGGGGGGAGGGGAGGGCTGGAGAGATGGCTCAACACTGGCTGCTCTTGCAGAGGACTAGGGTTCAATTCCCAACACCCACATGGTGGCTAACAACTGCCAATAACTCGAGTTCCAGGGGATCCAATGCCCTCTTCTGACCTTCAAGGGCATTGCATGACACTGGTGCACTTACACACATGTAGGCAATACACACATACACATAAAATAAAAATAATAAATAATTGTAGCCAGGTGTGGTAGCACATGCCTTTAATCCCAGCACTTGGGAGGCAGAGGCAGGTGGATCTCTGTGAGTTCCAGCCCAGCCTGGTCTACATAGTGAGTTCCAGGCCAGCTGGGGCTACAGGGAGACCCTGTCTCAAAAAAAAAAAAAAAAAAAAATTTTTTTTTATTTAAAAAGTGGGGAACACAAAATACAGAAGGGCCAGAAGCAGGAAGGCAAAGAAGGAATGGAAAGCGGCTTTCTGGAAACAACCCTGAGATAAGCCAAGTGGGCAACAGGCAAGGAGGAACCTGTTCTCTGCTAGCATTGTGCAAAAACAACCAGCCATTGAAAAGGGGGAAAACATACCATCGACCTAGAAGACAGACAGACCGGTTCCACCCACCTATTCCCCAGCCCCACTGAGTGGAAGTGGCAGGCAGAATGATGCATCAGACCCTGGGCTGAATCAGGGGCAGTTTCCCCTACCCCATGCCAAAGGGCAAATGCCCTGCCCTACCACTCCCTTCTTCCTACCCCCAAGAGAGCAAAGGGCTGGAATGGCAATAAAACTAGGCCTCAGGACATCTCCAGGGAAACGCAGACTCCACCTCCTAGGCCATTAGGCCACAGGAAAAAGGGGGGAGGACAGGTACCAGGGACAGGAAGGACAAGTTACTTGTCCTCCACCTGCTGGAATCTGGACTGGACTGGCCTAGCCACAGGCTGGAAAGAAGAACAAAGCAACCCATCCTGGGGAGGGTTTCTCCAACCAACAAAAATCAAAGGCTTAGGAGCCCTGATCCCTGCCACACACACACACACAGACACACACTTCCTGGTATACCAACTAGGCTTGGCTGACAGTGGAGGCCCTGACATGTAGTTAGCTTCCCCCACTTCCTAAAGAACTGCAGTACTCTGAGATGGCCTAGAATGGTCTGGAATGCACACAGCCTGGGGTTTCCATATGAGGAAGGCTGGACGTAAAGGAGCCCAGACCCAGGTTAGTTCCCTAACAATACTTCAGAATCTCAGGCTCTGGCCCTGGAGCAGGACTCCCATGGGCTTCTGTCAGGGCAGGAAAGGATCCGAAGTCAATTAGAGTCATCACCACCTACACTAATGCTGCTTCCTTGTGGAGCAGGCTCTCACCCTGGTCAGCCTAGCCCACAGATGGCATCCCCCACTTTCCAGAATCCCTACCTCAGCTCTCCTCAGAGACTGGGGAGAGGTATTGGAAGGCTAGAAAGAAGAGCAGATCCTTAGCCTGGGAGAGGTACTGGCTCAGAAAAAGGCTGGAAAGTTCCTGCTTGGCTCGCCCTAGTCAATCCTGTTCTCAGCACTCCTCACTTTGGTTGTTAGCTGCTGGGTGTCAAGGGTCAGAGTGCTAGGGTTCTACCAGAAAGGTGGTCCGGTGTGAAACAGCATAGGGCTTACCATTTAGGGGCATGTTATCCTGGGCAAATTATTTAACACAGGAGGCTGTTTTCTAATCTAAAAGATAGATATACCAATAGCACCTCTTCCAAAGACTGGAGAGAGACAGGAGGCCTTACAGAATGTGTGACACAGATGAACTGTGAAGAGCTAGCAGAGGTTATCACTTTTGACCCACTCCTGCCCTGAAGCCCCAACTGGCAAAAAGAACAGTTACAGGGAAGAATTAAGTTCTGCACTGGCCCCCATCCCAGCTGACTGCTCAGTCCTAAGAAAGGGGAAGATCCCAGTTCCCCATTTTGCCCAGATCTCTGGAAGTAAACAAGGTAAACAGCTCAGTACCACATCCTAGGCAGGGAGAGCCCAGCCTGGCTCATGTGAGCGTACACACACACACACACACACACACACACACACACACGTGCCAGGACAGCTGACATCCCTCATCTTCCAGATACACATACCAGCAGCTTGACTCACCCAGCAGCCCTCCTCACCCCCAGAGAGCCTCTAGGTGGCTGTGCCCACAATATTGCCCCTCTCCCTGTGGGACAGCTCTAGCCAGGGCCTGTTCTGTAGTCTCTGGGGCTTGGCTGTGTCATGGTGTGCCTCCACCTGCAAAAGGCCAATCTATCCCCTAAGTAGAGAGATGCTAACCAGCCACTGGAGGTGACTTGCCAGGCTCTCTTGCCAAGGCCTGGGGGTGTCTAGAACAGTGCTTGGTCAAGGCGTCTTTGTAGTCACTGGGCCACATCAACAGCTCACTCCCTCAGTCTAACAGGGCCAGGGGAGACAATCCTCGTGAGTCGTCTCATTTCTCCCACAGACACAACCAGAGCCAGGCCTCCAGCCCATTGCTTTTCAACATCCTGAGTTCAGGAGCCAGAATCAAGAATGTGGCCCCTCTCCACTCGCATCCCCTTTCCTTTATTTGTTCATACTGCCTACTTCAAAGGAGTTGCTGGAACTGGACTCTCCTCCCTCACTCCCTTGTCGTGGCTCTCTTCCGCAGAGACTCCATAACCAATCCAACCCTGCAACCCTCCTCCTCACCTCCAAAGCCTCGAGTCCGCAGCTCGCGATAGGAGTGGTAAACCTCCTGCGTGAGGTAATTGATGAAGCCCTCCTTCGGCGCAAACTTGCACACGAAGTTCTGCTCGTAGAGGCAGTTCATGAGGAAGCAGGCAGAGACGGCGTCCTCACCGCCGTCAGGCTGCAGCTCCACCAGCGCCAGGTTGCAGTTCTGGGTGGTGCAGCAGGCGCGCACACAGTCCCAGCCCCGGCGCACCGTCGGGGAGCCCAGGAAGGTGGCCCCGTTGCTGACCGAGGCCTCGGTATCGAGCACGAAAGCAGGCACCCCGCTGGTAAAGCGGTTGAGGCAGGGGGGCCCCACCGGGGGCTCAGGGGGTGCGAGCGGTAGCCCGGTCTCGGTGCCCTGGAGGCCGAGCGCACAGAGGAGCCACACGGTGCCAACGGCGAGGCGGGCGCCCGCCATCGTCCTCCCAGGGCCGTCGCCCTCCTTCACTGTGCGGGCCTCTGGGTTCCGAGAGTTCTGGTGACCTGAGAGAGGTGGGGACACGAGAGACACACCTGATCGGCCCAGGTGGGGACAGGGAGCACGCGGGCCCGACACTCCCACGGGCCCGACACTCCCACGCGGGACCAGGGACCCGACCGCTTCGGGGCAGAGGGGCCTGCTAGGGGGCTCACGTACCCGGACACACGCACCGCCGCAGAACGGACGGCCAAACATGCTCCGAGCCCGCTCCGCCTTCGCCTACGCCCGGCGGCCTCGGCCCGGGTTACCTGCGCAGGTGAGTGGGGTGGGGCCGGCGGCCCAGGATCCTGCCCGGCTACCGCCGGGTTCCGGGTGTTCGAAGGATCTACCGCCTCCTCCCCCTTAGTTTCTGGTGAAACTGAGTCAGTGCAGCCGGGGCGGGGCGAGCATTAACCCCTGCGCCGCCGGCCCCGCCCACGCCCGTAGCACGCCCACCCGCTCTTTCCTTACTCCACTTCCGGCTGGACCTGCGAGGCGGCTGTGCCATCCCAGACCTTGCGGCCGCGGATGGGGTTAGAGCCCACCCCCCGACTCGGGCACCTAGAGGCCTGGGTCCCGCCCGCGTGCCCCAGAGACGGCTGTCCGCGGGGCTTCACGGGATCCAGACGCTCGAGGGGGTCCCTGAGCCTCAGAGGTGCATTCTGAAGGCTGACGCGGGGTCCGGGACTCGGCTGTGAGGTCGCGGGGTGGCGCGCTCCGGGCCGGCTCTGCTTTCCTGCCGCATGGAGCGCGGCTTCCAGGCCCTAGGCCGGAGGAGGGTAGGAAGGGGCTGGTGTAGAAGAAAAGAGGGGAAAGCTTATGCAGAAGATATCACTGCCCATGGCCTGCCCTCGGGACATCATTTCCAGTTCCCAGTGGGAAGAGAACCCAGTAGCTGGGTGGCTGCGTTTGTGAAGACCCGCCTCTGGGATGAGGGCTGCTGTGGCGGGCAATACATGCATACACATAAAATTTCCAGAATTGGGAAACAGGTGATTCCTGGTATCCAGGCTGCCCTGCTTCCAGTAGGAGTTCTTTCTCTTTGGGGGCTCTCCCTCATTTTGTTATTAACATTTCCTTTTGATGTCTTGATGAACTGCCCGGTTCCCTGGGACTCAGGTTTACATTCCTATCCCCAAAGGGGGTGCTCGTAGTCAGTAGTTGACCGCTCTCTTCCACTTATATATGCTCCTTGGACACCTGGAGATTCTAGCTCACTGAAGTAGTGGAATTAATGGCCTTCACCAAACCATGGATATCTTGTGGCCAAGTTCATTGTTCGTCCTCAATGAAAAATTCTTAGACCATTCTCTCTACACACCAGGATTAGTTCTGTGTTCTTTCAAAATCAATTTTTTTGGGGGGGTCTGGAGAGATGGCTCAGCGGTTAAGAACACTGACTGCTCTTGTAGAGGACCCGGGTTCGATTTCCAGCACCCACATGGCTGCTACAAACCGTCCTTAACTCCCGTTCCAGGAGAATCTGAAGCCCTCTTCTGACATCCGCAGCATTGCACGACATGAGTGCACTCACATACAGGCAGGCAATACACTCGTACACATAAAAATATAAATAAATTTGGGGCTGGAGAAATGGCTCAGCGGTTAAGAACACTGGTGGTTCTTGCAGAAGACCCGGGTTCGAATCCCAATACCCACATGGCAGCTAACAACTGTAACTCTGGTCCCAGGGGATCGAACAGCCAGTGCACTTACCTCCATGCAGGCAATATATGCATACACATAAATTTAAAAAATATAAAAATAATAAAATTTAAAAGGTAAAATAAGGGCAGGAGATATGGCTTAGTGGTTAACAGTACTTGGTGGTCACCCAGCACCCACATCAAGCAGCTCACAACTGCCTGAACACCAGTTCTAAGGGATCTGATACCCCCCCCCTTTGGTCTTTTTGAAACAGGGTCTCCCTATAGCTCCAGCTACCTGGAACTCACTATGTAGACCAGGCTGGCCTTGAACTCGTAGAGATCCTCCTGCTTCTGCCTCCCAAGTGCTGGGACTAAAGGCATGCCATGTCCCACCTGGCTTTTTTTTTTAATTCATGATGTCTTAACCTCCCCTCCATCCCATGGAACTGTCCCCTCCATTGCTCACCCAAAGCAGTTTCACATAGAAGGCTTTGGAGCCAAGGATCATTTTCCTTTTCAATTGCAAATCCCCCAGCTGCTCACATGATGAATATGTCTATAAACTGATAGATGTCTGTCACTCCTTCACTGGATTTTCAGGGGGTCCATAGCCCCTGAAAGTGATACCCATAATGGTATGCTGGGGAAGAAAAAATGATTGTATGGTTACTGGGAAGAAAGGGTTTTGTCACAATTTGATGTCTACCTTCCCTAACAGCTTAAACATAAGAATACTAACACAGGAGACTATTATGATAATACTACATTGCCAGAAGTTTATCATTACATTCATTATGCATACTATGAAAGATACCTATATTTAAAGTTGGGTGTGGTGGTGCATGCCTACAATCCCAGCATTTGACAGGTGGAGGCAGGAGCATCAAGAGTTCAAGGTCAGTCTTAGTTACCTAGTAAATTTGAGGCTAGCCTGGGCTATATAAGATCCTGTTTCAAGAAAAAAAAAAAGGGCAAACCAAAAACATAGCTGTATTTAGGGATAGAGGTATAACTTAGCCATAGAGCACTTGCCTCATGTGCACAGAATGCTGTTTGAACACATTTATCAGACACTGAGAATGTCCAAAGCAGTTCCCACTTGTTACCCAGTATAATCCAGACAAACCAATGAAGGAGGTACTCTTTTT